CTTGTTGATTGAACTGACCTGACAGTACTCATGGTGTGTCGGCACGAGCTGTCATATTTAAATCCTTTGGAAGTAAAGAGTTCTTTTGAACAATTACCACTTGACTGAACATTTTGATAAACTATAATGATCTTTAGGCAGTAACACATAATATAAGAATTCCATCATTTTCAGTTACCTTCATTTCCAAGTTCTTAGAAACAGTTTCTAGGGAAGATATGAGCTCTTGAATTGTTTTTTCAATTTGCCGGTACTCGTGCCTGATGAAATGAATGTCTCCAGAAAGCTTCACAATGCTGGCATCACATCTGGTGGCAAGATGGACATTGGTCATAACATTTTAAATACTACAGTAGGATCTGTGCAGTCATTTGATGGCAAAAGTTCTAAAGTTCTTTGAATAATGAGTTGGTAGATGTAGGACCATAAATAGGACTGTTCTAAATTTTCCTCTTCTCTTCTTGATGAGAGAGAAACCTGGTTGGATAATAATACCCTGGGCCAAACCAGAGAATTGAGTTGGACTAGGTAAAGACATTGGGGTTAACTGGGGAGAAATTTTAGACTTTTCAGCCTGTTGTTAACTCAGTCATAGGAGTGCCAACAGGTTTTTATATTTGGGGAATATTTCCTATATTCTCCCCTCCCCCCCCGCCCCAACACACACACAGAAGAAAGAAATTCTATAAGTCAAATAAAATTTGAATATATTATGTATATATGCTAATTTTAGTTAAAATATTATGTTGAATTTTAATTTAATGTAAGAAAAGGCAACTAGTAAAAAATTTAAAAATTGCTGAATTTAAGAGATATATATACATACACACACTGAGTGGCCAGATTATTATGACCACCCCATCAGTACAATGAAGTGAATTAGTTATGAAAATGATAATAATAATAAAACCTTCAGAGTATTTGCTTAGGAAGTTTTCAATATTCAGTATTTTTGCAAGTGTCAATGAAGTACCGATGGGATGGTCATAATAATCTGGCTGGTCATAATAATCTGGCCACTCAGTATGTGTGTGTGTGTATGTATGTGTATGTATGTATGTATATATGTGTGTGTGTGTGTATATATTTTTTTTCTTCACCTTATCCCTGAGTCATTAGTCTACCTACCTCCTTTTGTTATCTGATCATTTATTTTGGGGGAAACCCTTTTACCTCATATTTTTATCAAAGTAAAATATGCCTAAAGTTTAAAAGACAATAATAACTAACAGGCTAATAATTTTAGTGGTTCCTTGCTCTGCTTCTCAATCCTGCTCCCTAGAGGCAAGTGTCACCTTTACTCCTAGTTTCAGAGGCTTCTGGGACAGCCAACTCCTAAACCTTTTTGGAATTCTGTAGTGTAAAACTAAGTCATTTTCAGCTTATCTCACAGCTTTAAAATTGGTTTTATTATGTCTCAGTTTTCACATGTCCATCTGTTTTCGAGGTTCTAATATTTCTATGCTGATATCTCCAGTCTTTGTGAATTGATGTTTTAAAGAGAAAATCTTTTTACTATAGATTTGTGGGGCTTTTGGAAGAAGCAAAATTACATATAACTGTTCAGTCTGCAATCTGTTCTGTTTCTTTTGGTCTTAATTTCTTTGAAACCTTGAACTCTTCCTGTGTTTCTCTGGGTAATTCCTCTTATAAGATATATTCATCAGCCTTATAGTTTTTAAACCAATCTTTATTATCTATCTGTCTATCATCTATATATCATCAATGTTGTTGGTGGTGATGTTTTATGCCCAGACTAGATTCTTCCTAACTACCACTCTTACTTTTTATTTTATTTTTTTAAAAAATATGTTTTATTGATTTTTTACAGAGAGGAAGGGAGAGGGATAGAGAGTTAGAAACATAGATGAGAGAGAAACATCGATCAGCTGCCTCCTGCACACCACCTACTGGGGATATGCCCACAACCAGGTACATGCTCTTGACCGGAATCGAACCTGGGACCCTTCAGTCTGCAGGCCGATGCTCTATCCACTGAACCAAACCGGTTAGAACCACTCTTTTTAAAATGATTCTGGCTACCTGCAGATTAGCGAGTATGTGGTTTGATGGAGAGCAGATCATATCCCCTATGCAGGATCATGTCCTTTCCCTAATCAGGTGTGTGTGTGTGGGGGGTGGGGGGGTGGGGGCGGGGGCACATCTCCCCATTTTCTCCTCAAAAACCAGATTGTGTATCTCACAGCAGATCATTATGATAGATTCTGTGTTGTGACACTAGCCTCCTCTCCTTCCTCATCCTGTTGCACTTCAGCCAGTTTCTCTCAGGTATAAATTGGAAAGGAGGGAGGTAGGTCCTAGATGATGAGTAGTATGCTTACGTCTTCAGCTACACCTCCCCCGTGTTCTGTGTTGCTGACCTGAATCTCTATAGGGACATCTCTTACCTCTCCTGTGAGCCACCCAAGCCCCTCAGTAGTGGTGCTCTATTCAAATTATTTGGCCTACACTTTTCAAGATTATGAGCCTTGTTTTGAAGGAAATCATTGTATTTAACCCCTTCCCCGGCAGAAACGTGTATACACGTTTTCACAAAATGTTCTTTTTTCAGTCGTCGACGAGTATACTCGTCTAAAAACTTTACCTTCAAAAACCAGCTACATACGTACCATTCTAAATAATTTCATCTAGAAACTTTCTGAGGAAATACTATTCTTAACCACAAAAATGGGAAGAAAAAATAATTACAAACTGTTTTCATAACCAGCATAAAAAATACTATATAGAACCAAAATAAAAAAATTAGTCTGAAAAAGAAACGTTTTAACAAAAAAATTATTGGGGAAAGGGTTAAGGTCTGAGGAGGACTTACAGTATTTGGTAAGTGTGCTCTGCTTGGGGTCATCGGTTGTGGCAACTTCCATACTATATTAAAGATGGAGATTTTGCTTTCCTTTTATTTTTATTTTTTATTTTTAACTTGCATGGAGACATCTCAAGTGAGAAGAGTGGAGTAAACGTATCTGTACTATCTTTAATTAGAAGTCCCCACTCTGTACCTTTGAAAAGTTGACAATATCCATAATATCATTATTATTTCTTCCAAGGGGGTGCCTTTTGCTTTCAACCTCACATAAACACAATCTGTCATTTTTTTTAACATGTGGATTTGTCTTGGGATCCCAAGTAGTCACAGGTGGCCAGAGGGTTGGCCTCTGGCTGCTGCTGCAGAGGGTACGTCAGAGCCATCCCTGCGGTGCCCTTTACATGCTCGCCTTTTCCTCTTCCATATGTAGCTGATCTCCTGAATAGAGGAGAGGGCTTCAGAAGCAGGGCAGGCAACTCTGAGAACACCATCTCACTGGAAGTACTGGCTTTTAGACTGCCACTTTACTGGGATGGAAAATACGGTGTCGAATGTAAAGCATAGTTATTAAATATGGAGTTTGATTTATGAAGCAATAAAATGTTTGCTAAGAATTAGGATATAAAATCAACGTAATTTCACTTATGCCAAAATGTTAACTGAAATTAGTGTGGAAAGACAGTAATTAATCTGCCTCAGTTTGTCCATTAGTCAATTGCATGTCAAAAATACAGACAAGGAAGAGGAGAGGAAAAGTGAATTTAAGTCTTAGGGCTTTCACCCAGGTTCTGTTGAAGATGACCAAATAGAGTGAAGAAACTTTCATAAAAGGAAGACATTCCAAGGAAAAATAAGATCTTGTCTTCAAACCACTGCTTAAGATTGAAGGGCAAGGTAAGTAAGCAATTGTGGGGGAAGGTAAAGGAATAGGAGCCTCTTGGTTTTCACTCTTCCCTCAGACACACCAAATAAACTGCTGCTTGTGGATCAATTCCCTCAGAAGGAAAATATGGAAACTAGTTTAGAGACTCTTAACGTATGGGATGAGTAAGAAAATATCTACATTGAAATGGATAGGAAAAGCTGAGACACCCTAATGCCACCAACTCCATCCCTAGCACAGTGCCTCGCAATTGGAAGGGAACCCCCAAACCCCTACTTCTTCCTGAGGAGTGAAGGGTTTGAACTACACATCAAACACTCCCAACTTTTGTAGCTGCCACCTGGAAGACTGGTTCCCAATTCTCTGAGAGCTGATGGGGTTCATGTGGGCGTCCCCTGGGCCCACGGAAAACAAAGAGGTGGTTTTAAATGGCCACATTATTTTAAAAAATGGGCAAAGGGCCTAGCTGGTGTGACTCAGAGGTTGAGCATTGACCTATGAACCAAGAGGTCTCCAGTTTGATTCCCAGTCAGGACACATGCCCGTGTGGCAGGCTTGATCCCCAGGAGGGAGCATGCAGGAGGCAGCCAGTCAATGATTCTCTCTCAGCATTGATGTTTCTATCTCCGTTTCCCTCCCCCTTCCTCTCTGAAATCAATAAAAATATATTTTGAAAAAATGGGCAAAGGACCCGAATAGACATTTATCCAGAGACAACAAACAAATGGTCAACGGGTACATGAAAAGATACTGAACATCACTAATCAGCAGGGAAATGAAAATCAAAACCATGATGAGATATCACCTCAAACCTGTTAGGATGGCTATTATAAAAATAAAGAGAGAGAAAAATGTTGTAGAGTATATGAGCAAAGGGAACCTTTGTACACTGTGGGCAGGAACATAAATTGGGACAGCCATTATAGAAAACAGTATGTAGGTTCCTCAAAAAACTAAAAATAGATAACACCCAGCAATCCCTCTTTTGAATAGATCCCCAAAGGAAATGAATTCAGTACCTGG